TCTGCCCTGGTAGTCGAAATAGGGGGCACTAGGACCCTGTGGCAGCAGTTGCTGCAGGGAGGCAGCATGGAGCTGCTCTGCTCCGGGGCCAGGAATGGGGAGGGAGAGCAAGTCGGGGCCGGGAGACGCTCGGGAGAGGCATGGGGGAGCGGCAGGTGGGGCCAGGGGGGAGATCACCTGGGTTATAAATATCTCTGTGCCTGCCAGCAGCTTCCCTCCCGCCCCCACCACTTTCTGCGCCCGTGGGCTTTGTGTGCCCGAGGCAAGTGCCTCACTCGCCTCGCTCTTGTTACGGCACTGCCGCCGCGCACTGCCACTGCATTCTGGTCAGGAAAGTGTGGCAGGCTAGTTGCACCGCTCTGAACTCCTTGATGTTGATATGAAGCGAGAGCTCGGTCTGTGACCACTAACCCTGCATCCGTAGGTCTCCTAGGTGGGCCCCCCGGCCGAGAGCTGATGCATCTGTTATCAGGGTCATGGAGGGATGAGGGGTGCTGAAAGGGTCTCCTTAGCGAACCACGCGAGAATCTAGCCCCCACTGAAGGGATTCTAGAACTTGCTCTGGTACCATCACTACCAAAGCCCAACTGTCCGGACCTGAAAGATAAGTTGAGGCGAGCCAGGCCTGGAGTTACCTCAGCCTGGCATGCCTGACCACATAGGTGCAGGCTGCCATATGCTCAAGGAGACTCAGACATCCCCTTACGGTTGTGGTGGGATATCGCCTGTCATTGTTTAAAATCTGGACTCCAGCAGGATTGCTCGCGGCTGCACAGAATCCAGCACCGCCCACAATTTAATTCTATTCTTTGGGTTGGAGATAGTGTTGACTTGTCCATGTTGAGGAGGAGTCCTAGTCTCTCGAAAGTGTCTCTGACCAAATGGATTTAGGACTCCACCTGCTCCCTGGAGTGCCCCCACAGCAGCCAGTCATCAAGGTAGGGATATCCCTGTACCCGTCTCTTGCAGAGAAAGGCCGCAACAACCGACATGCACTTGGTGAACACTCAGGGGGCCATCGACAGACCGAATGGGAGCACCGTGAATTGATAAACCTCAGGAAAGGCCTGTGGGCCAGACGAATGGCAATGTGAAAGTACGCATTTTTCATATTGAGGGCGGCGGACAAGTCTCCCGCATCCAGGGAAGGTATGATCATGCTCAGGAAGACCATGTGGAACTTCAACTTCACCCTGAACTGGTTGAGTCCTCGTAGGTCTAAAATGCATCTGAGACCCCCCTTTGCCTTGGGGATAAGGAAGAATCATGAGTAGAATCCCTTGCCCCGTAGCTCCTGAGGAACCTCCTCCACTGCCCCTATGGCAAGGAGCGATTGCACCATCTGCATAAGGATCTGCTCGTGAGTAAGGTCCCTGAAGAGGGACGGGGAAGGAGGGGTGGGAGGGAGGGGAAGAGCAGAAAAGACAGTTACTCACCTTCGTAACTGTTCTTCTTCGAGATGTGTTGCTCATATCCATTCCAATTAGGTGTGTGCGCACGCCGCGTGCACGATCGTCGGAAGATTTTTACCTTAGCAACTCTCGGTGGGTCGGCTGAGGCGCCCCCTGGAGTGGCGCCCTTACGGCGCCGCATATATACCCCAGCCGACCCAGTTCCTCCTCAGTTCCTTCTTGCCGGCTACTCCGACAGAGGGGAAGGAGGGCGGGTTTGGAATGGATACGAGCAACGCATCTCGAAGAACAACAGTTACAAAGGTGAGTAACCGTCTTTTCTTCTTCGAGTGCTTGCTCATAATCGATTCCAATTAGGTGACTCCCAAACCTTACCTAGGCGGTGGGGTCGGAATGAGATGTCATGAAGTGCAGAACCGCTGAGCCAAATGCCGCGTGTCACCCCTTGACTACTGGCCGATCGCATAGTGGGAAGCAAAGGTATGCACCGATGACCAAGTTGCTGCCCTACATATCTCCTGCACGGGTACATGAGCCAGGAAGGCGGAGGACGAAGCTTGAGCCCGAGTGGAGTGGGTGGTAAAGTGCATAGTTGGGACATCAGATAAGTCATAGCACACGGATGCATGATATGATCCGGGACGAGATGCGCTGGGTGGAGACTGGAAGGCCCTTCATCCAGTCTGCCACAGCTACTAACAGCTGGGTCGTCCTCCTAAAAGGTTTCGTTCGATGTAAAAGGCGAAGGCCCTGCGAACGTCTAGGGAGTTCAGCTGTTGTTCTCGCCGAGAAGCGTGCGGCTTCGGCTAGAAGACCAGGAGGAAGATGCCTTGGTTGACATGGAAGGCAGACACCACCTTAGGAAGGAAGGCAGGGTGTGGTCGCAGCTGTACCTTGTCCTTATGGAACACCGTATATGGTGGGTCTAACGTGAGGGCTCTAAGCTCCAACACACGTCTCGCCGAGGTGAAAGCTACGAAGAAGGCTATCTTCCAGGAAAGGTACAGGAGCGAGCAGGTGGCCATCGGCTCGAATGGGGCACCCATGAGTCTGGATAGGACCAGGTTGAGGTCCCACGTAGGGGCCAGATGCCGAATTTGCGGATACAGACAATCTAGTCCCTTGAGGAACCTGCTGACCATGGGATTGGAGAAGACCGAGTGCCCATTTTCGCCCGGGTGGAAGGCCAAAATCACTGCTAGGTGTACTCTGATGGATAAAACTGCTAGGCCCTGCTGTTTCAAGGACAAGAGATAGTCTAAGATGGTAGGTACTGGTACCTCCAGAGGGGCAGTATTGCTCAGGGCACACCACCAGGAAACACACTTCCACTTGGCCAAATACGTGGACCTAGTAGAGGGCTTTCTGCTACCCAAAAGTACCTGCTGCACCGAGCAGGAACAACGTAGCTCAGATTGAGTTAGCCATGCAGCATCCATGCTGTGAGGTGGAGGGATTGCAAGTCTGGATGACAGAGTCTTCTGTGTTCCTGAGTGATCAGGTCCGGCCACAACAGAAGTGGAATTGGAGTTGTCACCGACAGGTCGAGGAGAGTGGTATACCAATGCTCCCTGGGCCATGCCGGGGCAATCAGAATTAAGCAGGCCCTGTCTCTGTGCAACTTGAGAAGGACCCTGTGGACTAACGGGAATGGAGGAAAGGCATAATACAGGCGGTTTTTCCATGGTATCAGGAAGGTGTTCGACAGGGAACTCGGGGAGCATGCCTGGAGAGAGCAGAACACCTGGCACTTCCAATTCTCACGAGAGGCCAATAGGTCTATCTGGGGAAACCCCCACTTCCGGAAAACAGAGTGGATGACATCCGGGCGAATCGACCACTCGTGAGCCTGGAAGGATCTGCTGAGGTGGTCTGCCAAGGTGTTCTGGACTCCTGGGAGAAACGACGCCACCAGGTCGATCAAGTGGGCTATGCAGAATTCCCACAGGTGAATGGCTTCCTGACGGGGGGGGGGGGGACGGATGATCGTGCTCCCCCTGGTTTGTTGATATAAAACACGGCAGTTGTGTTGTCTGTAAAAACTGACACACAATGACCCTGAAGGTGCTTGCGGAACACTTGACACGCCAGGCGCACTGCTCTCAGCTCCCGTATGTTGATGTGCAGTGATCTCTCTTGTGTGGACCAAAGGCCCTGTGTGCAAAGGTCTGCAAGGTGAGCACCCCAACCCAAAGATGATGCGTCCGTGGTTAGGACCAGGGAGGGCTGCAGGGCATGGAATGGTACCCCTTCGCATACCGAGTTGGGGTTCAGCCACCAGACCAGGGAGGTTAAGACTTCTGGCGGTACCATGACCACTGTGCCCATGTTGTCCCGGCCTGGGCGGTATACAGTTGAGAGCCAGGCCTGAAGTGGACGGAGGCGCAGTCTGGCATGTCTGGTCACGAAGGTGCAAGACGCCATGTGTCCCAGGAGACCGAGGCACGTCCATGCTGTCGAGGTCGGGAAGCTTTGGAGGCCGTGGATAATGCTCGCCATGGACTGGAAGCGGGCGTGTGTTAGGCACACATGGGCGAATCTTGAATCTAGGACTGCTCCGATGAAATCTATTCTTTGGGTCGGCTCCAAAGTGGACTTTTCAACATTGAGCAGCAGGCCCAGCTGTCTGAACAAGCTCATGGTGAACTGAACATGAGATTGCACCTGGTCCTTGGAGCAACCCCGAATGAGCCAGTCGTCGAGGTACGGAAACGCTTGGATCCGATGTCGACGGAGTGAGGCAACTACGACGGCCATACACTTTGTAAAGACCCTTGGTGCCGTGGATAGGCCAAAGGAAAGGACGGTAAATTGGAAGTGCTGTTGGCTGACCACAAAGCGAAGGAAACGCCTGTGAGGGAGAAGAGGAGAGACAAAAACAAAACAAAACAAAAAACACACACCACTTTCCGCAATTCTAGTCCCCTGAATTTAAGATGTAAACAGTATAAATAAAACAAATGTAACGCGAATTGGTAAGTTTAATAGAAAGTCTTATGTTACATATTGCTTAACACAAGCCTATATTAAAGTTTCAATACACTAATCAAGGGGACTAGCTATTTTGAAGTTCACCGTTTGCTCCACTCATAGAAAAAAATTAATTTAGTATTTGGTTTCAGTTTTCCAATTCAGCAAATCTGTTACACATCAATACATACCCCTCATTGATCATAATTTTTATGTTTTCTTTTAAGAGCAAGAATGTAAATTGTGTGAATTTTTAAACTATTTAGCTTATAATGGGGGATAGGGGGTCATCATGGCTAGACATCCATTACAATGTTATTAGTATGTTAAATCCATTCCCTAATTAGTATTCAATGTAACATTTAAACAAGACAGACAAATATTTACAATGCAAAACAAACCAACACTACATATTTGCTACAAAGCTTAAGAAAAAAAACTTATGAAATAAAAGTGAGTTTAAATATTTAAAGTTCTTCCTCAAATAAAACAGAGACTTTTGCACTATACTTGATTCTGCAACTGCTGTACTCCAAAATAAGCAATATGGAATTTGCTTGAACCATCTTAAAACCTTTAAGTTACTAAGCCAGCTCTGTATATCTAAAACATAATACACCAATTGCAAAACCAGGAATGAATCAAACTTATCTAAGAGGATTTGTAAATCTTCTCCACTAAAGTTACTACTCTTCTTACTCTTCCAGATGAGTAATGGGTTCTTGTAGTGCACTGTTCTGTCTGTAGATAAAGGCATTGTTTACAGCTCCTAGTTCTCCCAGCTGTTCAAGCGAAGAAACACAGGGATCATGATCCTTTAACATATCTGGTAACTTGCACAACTTCTCCTGAAGGCGACGAGAACGCCTCACAGGGGTTAAGAATTTTATATCTTTAACAGCAGAGTCATTTGCCTCACACTGCATCTTCTTCTTCACACTTCAGAAAAGAAAAAACACAAACACATTTGTGGATTAAAGATGTATATTGAGCCATATTTAGTCTTACTGTCTTTCTATGGAAACATCCATGTGAAAGTCTGTCAAAGACCAAACAAGCCATGCTTCCTGCCTTAGCCAACTGTACCCTCCCATTCCCCCCTCCCCAGCAAAAAGAGAAGATAATGACCACATACAATGCCCCCAGAAGCTAAAACCAGAGAAGTGGTAAGTACGTTTTAAGCACTACATTCATTTTGCCCAAGGATAGAGTTCTTTTCCACTACGTTTGCTAGTCAAGAGTTGCTCCAGGCAAAAACACATATCCACCTGACTTTTTCCTAGATCCTCCACAGAGTGTACAGCCTTCTACACCAGGCATGCAGCAATTCAGGCTCCAAAGCTGGGCAGGACTTCCCATAAGTACATAATGTATTTTGGGTATCCTGAGCAGGGGAAGCTCTGCTTTGTAGTGTTCAGGGTAAGTATCCTAGGCTTTTCAGTGTTAACTCCCAGATGCAAAGAATTAAATTTTGTGACTAATAAGGTGACTCTTAAAGGTGTGGAGACAATTGATATTTATGCCAAAAGAAAAGCCAAGACAGATGGCTTGTGTCAATTTGAAAGATTTGAGTTGTGACAGGCCTATAAAGAGAGTCTTTCCTTTAGATGTAAAGCTCTTCTCCACCCATTCACCCCAATGGTGAAAGGAGAAGCAGCCCTCAAAAGATTAGACTCTTGGAATTCCAGCTCCAAACTGGATGTTCACTAGTCTAGGATGTTTGATTTGCTGCAGTTGTGATGCAAATACATATCACAGTTTCCCCAGACACTGTAAAAGTGCAGGAACTTCTAAGATTACCATAAGTGATCTTACCTTTCTAAGTATGGAGTGGTTGACAAATTGTATTTAATTAAATAAGACCCCTCCTTTTCTTTTTCAGGAGTCTTAAATTCTAAGTTTGCATCTTTTATTATATCTTCAGTTTTGTAGTTTTCAGACTTCTTAGTTTGTTCTTTGTACTTTGTTCTGTGCTTTTTACTTTCTTTAGGTAAGGTCTCTTGTCTTGACTTCAAGGATGAATCTGTTTCCTCTTTCTTGATCACTTCACTGCTAGTCTCTGCCTTCTCTTCATCATTCAAGTTGAGCTCTTTGAAGACTTCCTCTACATTCTCTACCGAAGAGTTAGCTTCTTTGCTGATAACCTCTTCTTTCACACATTCCTCTAAAAGTTACAAAGTTAGAAATAGGGACACAGTCATGATTAGTTGCAATTAAGGATCTAGTAACTAGCAGCAGAGTGTAAAACACGATGCAAAGGTCAGTGGTTTCACCATGTTCTTCAGTAACCAGTAAGGGGTATCTTTGAAATTCTAGAGCTTCTGCACACCAAACCATTTTTGCAACAACAATCTATTGCACAATAGTGTTTCATAGACCTTAGTTTCACCTACATTGCTAAAACCACATTTTCCCCACAAGCAAGGTGAATTATCACAAACCACAATGGCCTAAATTTTCAAAGGCAAATGATTTGGAATGGTCAACTTGACATACCTGAAAGCAGCCTGATTTTCAGGTGGCAGGTGTATAGTACTTTTTGAGGAAAAAACCACCACACTAGGCTGTGACAGTACCTCCCATAAGGCTTTATAGAAATATGCTTAGAATGTGTTTTATGCTACATATGCCATGTAACATATCTCCGTAAAGGTTATGATCTACTGAATGTATTAATCCTATTTGTATGCATGTATCATTTTTGTATTTGAAGTTATGAATGTTAGCTGTGTACTGGCTTGATTTCTAAAGAACCTTCGTAGAGCATTTGGTCAGTTCCTGGAGAAAGGAATGTTGAACATAGGCGTGCGCAGCCCATTTCATTAGGGTGTGTACCCAGGGAGACCCGCCCCTGCCATGCCCTAGCCCTGCCCCCATCCACTCCCTCCTACTTCCTGCCCCCTGACTTCCCCCCTCAGAACCCCCAACCCCCCCTGCTCCTTGTCCCCTGACTACCCCCTCCTAGGACCCCTGCCCCTAACTGCCTCCCAGAACCCCACCCCTACCTAAGCCTCCCTGCTCCTTGTCCCCTGACTGCCCCCACTAGGACTCTACCTGTCCCCTGACTGCCCCGCCCCTTATCCACACCCCCACCCCCAGACAGACCCCCAGAACTCCCACGCCTATCCAACTGCTCCCCACCCTGACAGGACCCCCAGAACTCCCGACCCATACACCCCCCCCTGCTCCCTGCCTCCCCCAACCCCTCCCCACACCCTTGCCTCCTGACAGCCCCCCCAGAACTCCCGACTCATCCAACCCCCCCCAGCTCCTTGTCCCCTGACCACCGCCTCCAAAGACCTCCCCCCACGACCCTCCTTGCTCCCTGTCCCCTGACTGCCCTGACCCCTATCTATCCCCCACCTCCTGACAGACCCTGGGACTCCCATGCCCCATCCAACCCCCCCTGCTCCCTGACCGCCCCCTCCCCTAACCACCACCGCATAATCCCACCCCCTATCCAATCAGGGGCTGCAGGTTTGTATGATTTTTGGTGGTGTCCAAGCAGAGCTGTCCCAACCATAGGACGGATCGGGGCAACCGCCCTGGACTCCGTGCTTTGGGAGGCCTTGTGCTTCAGGGGGACACAGGGTCCAGGGCAGCCTGGGGGCTTAGCAGGGAGCCTGGCACCAGCGAGCAACCCGGCCCCAGCATGCCCCACCCCTTCCCCCAACCCCCCCACCACTGAGCAATGCTGGGAGCCGGTGGGGTGGAGCAGAGCAGGTTGGGGCCAGGTCACTTGCTGCTGCCAGCGCCAGACCCCCCGCTAACTCCCCAGGCTGCCCTGGACTCCTTGTCCCCCTGAAGAATATCCTGAGGCTCTCTCTGCCTGCAGCTCCCTCCCCCTGCCTGCAGGGGAGGCGCGGTCAGGCAGCGCCGCCCCCCCCCCCCCCCCCCCCACAGCTCCCATTGGCCGGAGTTCCTGGCCAATGGGCTGGGAACCAGGTCAGCGCTGGGAGGGGGGAGGGAGGCAGCATACAGAGTTGCCCTGCCTCTGCCGACTCTCCCCTGCATGCAGGAACACTGGGGAGGGGGGAGCTGCCCCCAAGGTGAGAGCACCCCACCCCCCGGCCCAACCCCCCCCGCCCCCCGTCCCGACCGCCCCCCCCCCCCCTCCCCGCCCCCCCCCCCCCCAACCATGAGGGAGGCTCCTAGCAGCATCTGGCTCAGCACGGTGCCATACACGCTACCCTGCGGGAGCACGTAGCCCCCCCCACACACACACACACACAGCTCTGCCTGCCCTGCATTAGGATGTGCCCAGGCACACCCCCTGTGCACGCCTATGATGTTGAAGTTAAATACCTAATCAAGAAACACTTAAAGGACAATGGATCTTGGAATGCTCCAATCCACATAAGTCTACTTGAGAACGTTCAAGGTAGCATGTAAACAATGGATGCTACCTGTAAAAACTGTCACATGTCCACACACGACTCACTTGCCCAGGTGACTCCTAAACTTCATCTTGGAGCTGGACTTTGCATAGGAGTGAGGAGGGGGTCTCCACCCACAAGAGAAAGTCTATTTAAACCCCTGGGAGACCCCTCCATTTTGTCTTCAGCTGGCTAAAGAGAGAGCATCTCCACCCCCCCAGGATACTTGGAAGAAACTGGAACACAGGGCAGTGACTGCAAGGGGTGTGAGTGATTGCTGGACCCAGGCTAAAAGGAGATTAGTCTGTAAAAGGGAGCATTCTGGAACTGGCGAGGATCTTATCTGTACTCAGTTTGATTAGACATAGATTTGCGCATCTTATTTTATTTTGCTTGGTGACTTACTTTGTTCTGTCTGTTACTACTTGGAATCACTTAAATCCTACTTTCTGTATTTAATAAAATCACTTTTTACTTAACTCAGAGTATGTATTAATACCTGGGGGAGCAAACAACTGTGCATATCCCTCTATCAGTGTTATAGAGGTGAACAATTTATGAGTTTACCCTGTATAAGCTTTATACAGGGTAAAACGGTTTTATTTGGGTTTAGACCCCATTGGGAGTTGGGCATCTGAGGGCTGACTTCTGTTAGCTGCTTTCAGGTAAACCTGCAGCTTTGGGGTAAGTAATTCAGACCCTGGGTCTTTGTTGGAGCAGATGGGCGTGTCTGGCTCAGCAAGACAAGGTGCTGGAGTCCTGAGCTGTCAGGGAAAGCAGGGGTAGAAGTAGTCTTGGCACATCAGGTGGCAGCTCCCAAGAGGGTTTCTGTGATCCAACCCGTCACATAGGCACCTTTAATTCATCATACTGGATGATTCCTCAGCAGGAATTTGCAGGTGGTTGCTGATACTTTTGTGCCAATCAAGTGAATCTGCCCCAGTTACTGATTTTAGCCCCTGACCTTTTTGAAACATTTGAACCTCAGGCTGAAGAGGCTGGACACCACTGACAGTCAATGAAGAATAAAAATTGAAAAAAAAAAAAAAAAAATCTATATATGATTGGGGCTCCCTGTCTGCCAGTGTCACTTGTCACTATTGGCAACATGCTAGCAGCTGAGGAGGAATCAGTAAGTTTTAATCAAACTTTGCATTATGTTTCAGACAACTTGAAGTTTAGACACTAAATAGATCAGCTTCCATACCATATGACTAACAGAGTGCACCCTGTTTTTTAAAAAGTTTAACACAGTAGTTCTCAAACTTTTGGACTGGTGACCCCTTTCACATAGCAAGCCTCTGAATGTGACCCCCTTATAAATTAAACACTTTTTTTTTATACATTTAACACCATTATAAATACTGGATGCAAAGCAGGGTTTGGGGTGGAGGCTGACAGCTTGTGACCCCCCCCCGCCCCCATGTAATAACCTTGCAACCCCCTGAGGGGTCCCGACCCCCAGTTTGAGAACCCCTGGTTTAACATTTTATTCACGGAGTCAGATAATTTAAGGTTAACTGAAAGAAAGAGTATTCAATCTTACCAACAACTGACTTTGGAAGATTTTCAGTATTCTTCATAATATCTGCTACTGTGTGTCGTAACTCATCCTTAGGCTGGAAGAAAAGTTGCTTCCATTAATGGACCATATAGTCCCTACTTAGTTATTCTAGAGTTTAATGTGGAAATTAAAAATAAGGTGATGCAGTCTGCATCACCTTAAGTTATATTATGAACATTACAATTGATTAACTGTATTATAAACAGACTTAGAAAGATTAGATTTTTATTGGTAAATGTTGATTTCAACATGTGCGCTTGCACACAGGGACACAAAATGATGAAAAATATTTCCATCAATCACAACCAAAATTTACAGATAGGCAAAGTCAGAAACATGCTGGTTCAGAACTTAGTTTGATTTAAGGATATTTAGTGTATATATTTTGATATGCGACATTGACAATTTGTATTTTTAAACAATTACAAAGCTTTAAACTTTTTGAATCTCAGCATCCATGGTCATTAAATAATTCTCCCCACAATTTCCCGCAACCTGAAAATTTAAACCCAAAACAAAAACAACTGAAAATGTAAGGGATAAAAACTGAAAAAATGCTTAAACATTGATATTATCCATCAAAATTGTACAAACAAATCAAATTCTGCTAAGCCTAATTGTAAATCCTTATGTTAATGCAGTATGAACATGAGTCAAAGTGTGCAAGCAAAGATTGCAACATCAACTTTGCCACACTGCATATGATTCATCCTGTACAATGTTGTAGCATTACTGTTCCTGCTGGAACCTGAATTTTTGCATACAAGTCTTGTGTTTCTTTTGCAACCTTAATGTTAGCAAATCCTATAAATAAAAGTAACAATAACTTCTAATGTTACTTAGATGTTCGAGACAAGGTGGGGGAGGTAAAATTGTTATTGGAACAACTTCTGTTGGAGAGAGAGAGAGAAGCTTTTGAGCTACAGTGCTCTTCGGGTCTTCAGTGTCACAGCTAAGTACAAGATCAATCTGATAGATATTCAGAGGCAGTGGTTTTCAAACTGTGGGTCACGACCCAGAACTGGGTCATGGAACGGAAGGGACTGGGTTGCGGCGGCTCCGGTCAGCACCGCTGACGGGGCCGTTAAATGTCCCATCAATGGTGCTGCTTGGCTAAGGCAGGCTAGTCCCTACCTGTTTCTACACTGCGTTGCGCCCTGGAAGCAGCCAGCAGCAGGTCCAGCCCCGCCTAGGAGCCACACATGCTGCTGGCTGCTTCCAGGGCGCAGCGCGGTCTGTTGTACCAGAACAGGCGGGAAGCCTGCCTCTGCACCCTGGCTGCGCCACTGACTGGGCGCCGCCGGAGGTAAGCCCACACCCCAACCCCCTGCCCCAGCCCTGAGCCCCACCCACCCAGAGCCCCCTCCTGCACCCCAAACCCCTCATCCCCAGCTCTGCTAGTTAGCAGGCACCAATTTTCTTCAACTGGGTCACCAGAAAGAAAAAAAAAAAAAAAAAACACATTTGAAAACCACCATTCTAAGGGATCATTCAAGGTAAAGTGGCCCATAAAAAACTCCTGTAGTCATACGACAAAAAGGGAGGGCTAGTGTGTTACACATTGTTGTCATGAGCCATAAAACCAGTGTCTTTATTAAGACCATTATTTTTAGTGTCTAGCAAAGTTATGAATTTAAGCTCCCAGGCTTACATTTGGAACCCACTAACCTCCCCCCCCCACCCCTTGTCATATGACTACAGGTGCCTTAGCAGGCCACTTCACATTAAATCATCCCTTCAAACAGTGGTTTTCAACCTTTTTTCATTTGCAAACCCCTAAAATTTTGAATGGGGGTGAAGACCTCTTTGGAAATCTATTGTCTGTATATATAGTTGAATTCTGTTCAGTCAGTTTTCAGTCTAAATCTTTTGTGGCCTATGTCAAAGGCAGAGGTCCCCAAAGTGTGGGGTGCACCCCCCAGAGGCCTTCAGGGGGATGCAGCGAGTCTGGGCCAGCCCCCATGGGGGGCAGGGAGGGAGCACCACCCCACCCCTCCCCAGCCACAGCCTCAGCTCCCATCCTCGTGCTTGGCCCCACCTGCAGCCTCGGCATGGCTCCACTGCCAGCCCTCACTGAGGCCCAGTTGCAACTTCGCTCCTGCCATCACCCCCAACCTTGGCCCCTAGCAGCGGCTCAGTCACCAGACCCATCCCTGCAGCCCCAGCTTCAGCCCCCTTACCCCGTCCATGCCGCCCCCACCCACCCTTCACTCTAGGAGGAAGCAGGGGGGCGCAGTCCTCAAAAGTTTGGGGACCACTGGTCTAAGAGGTTGAGAACCATAAGTAGTTAGCACATATTCCATCTGTTTGATCTTGTATTTAGCTGTGACTCCGAGTGCCCTTCCCAGCCCTGAAGAAGGCCTCTGTGTAGCTTGAAAGCTTGTCTTTCTCACCCACAGAAGTTGGTCCAATAAAAAGATATTACTTCACCCACCTTGTCTCTCTAATATCCTGGGATCAACACAGCTACATCAATATTGCATACATTAGAAGTTAGTTTTTCATCATTTTTCCTAGAAGTAATTTTGATGCTCATTTCTCTCCCCTTGAAAAGTAATAGTTGCTGTTTACTGAAGTTGCAGCATAAATGCAAAGATTCACAATTGCAACAAGGTTATAAAGCTTGTGTTTAATTAATTAACTCAATGTAAGTGAGCCACCCCTTTTTACTAGAAGCAGCCAGTGTTAATATATAGAACAGGGATCAGCAACCTTTGGCACGCAGCTCGCCAGGGTAAGCCCCCTGGTGGGCCAGGCCGGTTTGTTTACCTGCCGCGTCCGCAGGTTCGGCCGATCGCGGCTCCTACTGGCCACAGTTCGCCACTCCAGGCCAATGGGGGCGGTGGGAAGCGGCACAGGCCGAGGGATGTGCTGGCCGCCGCTTCCCGCCGCCCCCATTGGCCTGGGACGGTGAACCGCAGCTAGTGAGAGCCGCGATCGGCCGAACCTGCGGACGCAGCAGGTAAACAAACCGGCCCCGCCCGCCAGGGGCCTTACTCTGGCGAGCCGCATGCCAAAGGTTGCCGATCCCTGATATAGAAGAGGGATAGTCTATTTTTGGTCAAGGTCCAAATTTCTTGGTCACAGTATAGTCAAGGTCCAAACTCCAGAGAAAATGATTTTTATAAACAACATCGATAAATAAAAAGATTTCGGGGTCCATTAAAAAGCATCTTGTGTTCTGGATTTGGCCCATGGTCAGCCTATTGACCTCTGATGTAGAAGTTCTGCTGAATGCACCGGTTTTTACATCCATCACTCTTTTTCACTGCAAAAACCCCAAGATTCTGCTTCTCACCTGTGCTCCTGCCAGAATAGCCTCCTCATAAACAGCAATGATCTTTTCAATTGGGCCCAGCTGTTCAAGACGCATGCGACACACCCAGTATTTTGCAAGTTTTTTCGCATCTGGAACACTCTGAATCAGCTTTTCCAGCATTGCACGTACTTCATCCCCAGGAAAACCCTAATATTTACATAAAATGACAGGAAGACTGAATCCTAATAAACATATTCCAAGGTAGTGACTATACAGTTGTTACTGAAAACTTGTATTTGCTTCTGTTTTTTTCTAGTGACCCTGAATAAATTGGTAGCAATGAGAAATATTTACATTCACCTAGTCTTCAAAATGAAATTGTCTGTACAGAGTGTTAGGAAATAGGAGATCATTTCTCTTCTCCAAGTTCTAGAAGCGTCACTTTTTAGGTAACTTTTGTAAAAAGGTTCAATAAAATTAATGAACTAACAAGTGGACTATGGAATTACTTCCTTTCCTTTGATACTGGGCACCACATAAAAGTCAATTCTAGATCTTGCTTTCTAAATCAGGTGGTTGGTTACTTGGGGCTGAATCACATGAGCCCTCAGAGCATGAAATTACTACTGAAGTCAATGGGAGTTCCATGCACTAAGGGCATACAGGATCATGATGTTAGTATACAACAAAATGAATACCTGTTCTGTTAAATGTAGACATTCCACAAGAGTTTTGTTGACATTTTCACTGAATAATCCTTGCTCATCCTCTTCTACTATGGCAGCCCAGAAAGACTCAACTGGTTCTTTTGGAGTTTCTTGTGATGTCTGTGTCTCAGACTGGGCTACTTGTAGCACAGTAGATGATGGCCTCTTTATCACGTTTCCTTTGGCTGCCTTCCATTCAGCCAGACGAATTCTGCATTTAAGTAAATCAGTATATTAGCATCTGTTGTAGAATAGCTTATTTTTCACCATATATACAAAGATTAAGATTAGGGCCAGTCAACACAAGTCACGTAAAAACATACTTTGAGGGTAGATGAGGAAAGTCCTTAGAGAATTCTTAATTATCACCTCTCTCTAATCAAGCCATGCAGATATCACCTATGCATGGAAGCCTTTGAAACCTTGATGCCACTACTTCCATCTGCTAGAGATGTTTATGATCAGCAAGTTGAGACACTTCTATCTTCTCTTGTCCAACAGCAGCAAAAAATTGAGGGTATAAAACAAACAAAAACCCACCACCAACCCTGTTTTTCCTACATAGTGCAGAGAACTGCTTCTAAGCTACTGGGATGGCCCCATAAGTTTAGAGAACAAAAATTTGAACTGAGTTTATACTTATGAGAAGCACTAGACTGAGTCCTAAAGACAGAATCCCTTTATCCACAGAACAGGCAGAACATAGGGTATGGCAGTGCAAGCACCCTACCATAGCAGACCTGGGTCCTATTCCAAAAGGGCCATTTCTTAAGAGTATACATCAGATTTTATCCCCATTTGAATCCTTTGGCTTCATACTGAAACTGCCAATTATTGCTAAATTACAGATATCTACTGGGATAACTGCACCAAGAATACCAATTCATTTCATACAGGCCACCAGCCATAAGCTGGTAACAACTGTCTCTAATTATCTAGACTGGATTCAGATCTCTGATCTAGAGCTGAAAAACACTATTCTATTAGTGAATGAAGCAATCTAGTTCTCCTCCCCTATTACACAGTTTCTAATAAATATTACATTCTACGTACATCATGCACTAAGCTATTTTTTGTAAGTTGCTGTTTGGCTGTGGTTTGATTACATGTACACCAGCGTCAGGTTTGCCAAGGCCAACACAACACAAGAAGGCCTGAAACACTGGAGATGTGTTTCTCTGATGCTGCAGAAACTACAACGAAGCAGGACAAGTTGAGAGCCTAAAATGCTGCTGCAATATCTGAATTCTACTCCTCAGTTTTAAATCTTGGTTTCTTTAGAGTCTGATGGCTTTCAACCAGAAAAAGGTAGTTTGCAGTTCTGAGCACAAGAATGTCTATATATAAACTTACTAGTGGACCTAAAAACAATATGAGCACATCCACTCACAGCTGAAACAAGTCTATTGAGATCCATTGGGGGGGGGAGGTGTGAAGGAGAGGGAGTCCCCTTTTAAAAAAAAAAAACCCACATACACAGAATCTGATTAATCCAGTTACCTTCTCTCTTCTGTTGATTCTTTTGGCAGAACATATTTTCTGTTGCCAGCTTTTGAATCCTGGGTGGCCTTGGTACCACAGGTTACAGAAACAGACTTTGCTGAAGTTCCTAATCTGACATCTCTCAGTGGAACCTCAGTTCTCTTTGCCCCAGGCACAGAAGGGGGCTTAGCATTGTGAAGAGCTGTCTTTAATGATGGTGGCCCACTTTTATCAGGCTTTTTTTGGACAGTCATATTATTTACAGACACACTTGTGACTATTTGTTTCTCCTTGTTCTGGATGGACTTTGAGTGGGTGCTATGAGAAGCCCTCACAGGTGGTCTCTTCTGAAAGGGGGTGGCATGTACAGGTTTAGCAGCACTAGCCAAATTTGTGGCTCTAATATTATTTATGACTGCATTATTGCTGCTGGTGGATGATGGTCTCACTGCTGGTTTGGTGGCAGGAGCTATAGGTTTCTTGTTTGCCAAAGAACTCTTTGCATCCTCATTTTCTAGTGTTTTTCGGAAGGAGTTTATCTTCGATGGGATAACCTTGCCACAATATGAGCCAGGCACATGTTTCTTTGGCAGGCTGGCATCAGAGTTCTGCTTGTCTGCAATCAGTTGCTTCTCTTTGATGTTTCTTTTGTGCAGGAAGGACTGGCTAAATGACACATGATAAGTTTTTGTTTCAACAGCTTCATCTTTGGAAGTGTTAATAGCTGAACTAAAATCTTCAGGACTGCAATTTGTTCCTACAGTTGAGTTTGTCAATATGGTAGTAGTTTTCAAGGTTTCATCCTTTGAAGAGGCAGTGGTTTTTTTCAGAGTGTTGTTTGACTGAGTCCATGGAGGTCTATTAGCATTTTCTTTATCTTCCTGAAATTGGAAGGAACATGAAAAAATATTAAAAATGCATAACATATGGCAATAATCTGCATTTCATTTCAGCAATTTATAAGCCTTCCAATCAGTGGTAGGCTTATAAGACTTTGGGGGAAATTAATAATACTGTAAGTTGGCCTTGAAGAAAATGGGGATGCATCACACCTACAAGGGAGTCAAACAAGGGGAATATGAACTGTTATTTCTACTTGCCACTGCAAAATCTTCACCCAAGCATTGAATAAGGATAAGAGAGGCAACGGTTTCTAGAATCTAAAGCTGTGGTTCTCAACCAGGGTGTGACACACTATGCCTCAGGGGGAGTGCCCTGTAACCCCCATATTCATCATTTATATACAATTGTGATATTTTATATAAAGTATGCCATGTGAGGTATCAGGGGAAAGGTTATGATCTGCTGAAAGCCATGGTTCTATCTAAATATGTATATCATTAGTGCATATGAAGTTATGAAATTGTGTTGAATGGTTGGTACTAAAACATGCTGAGAGTTGGGGAATTGCCCAGATATTAGATCCCTAGAGACAAGGACAAGGGAGCGAACCAACGCCCAGGCCGGTGTCAAACAACCATCAACAGCCATTGTCCAGCAAGGAAGCTACAATGCAATGACTCACTTGCACAAGCCACACCAGGGGAATTGCTCAACCTTGCCTGGTGACTCAGCAATGCCCATCAGATACGCCTGGACTTGTGTTCTCCAAGCACATGGACTGAGGGTATAAAATAGAACACAGTGGCCGCATGCTTGACCTTTTCTCCTCACCTCATCTATGGTGCAAGCAACAAGGACATCCAGAAGACTCCAGCAGAGAAGACTGGCCCAGGTTTCAAGGGTGAAACCTGTGTACTATGAACTGCAATGTCCAGTGGGGTGAGAAAAACTGCTTAACCTAGAATGTTGCCCAGTCTAATAGGGTTGAGAGTTTAGACTGCATGCTTATATTATATTTTATTTTATGTTGGTAACTAACTGACTTTTTGCTCATCACTTAAAATCTATCTTTTGTAGTCAAACTGGTTTTACTGTTTATCTTTACCAGTGAGTTTGCCTGAAGTGTTTGGTAAATCTGCTCAGGTTCACAAAGGCTGGTGTATATCAACTTTCCATTGATGAAGTGGTGAACCAATTAATGAACTTGCACTGCTTGTCTTGAGCAAAGCACGACGGTATATTCTTGAGGTACAAGACTAGGAGCTGGGGCGATTTGGCTGGTGCCTTTCTCCATGTGATTCATGAGTGGGCTCTGGGAGCATTCATGCAATCTAGCTGGTGGGGGGGCTCCACATGCAGTTGTTCTGAGTGATAACAGCGCCTGGAGGGGGTCACTAGCAAAGCATTGAGAGAGACAGCCCAGGCTGGAGAGTTAAGAGGGCACAGGGGTCCCAGGCTGTACCCCAGGGATCCCATCACATAGGGGTCCGATTTTTCTCAAACTTTAAAAAAGAATACAAAGACCAAACATGGAAAATTTCAGCCAAAAATTATTTCCTGAAGTTATGAGTATGTGAAGACAGGATATCAGAATGGAATTTATTCCACAGTTTGAACTATAGGTGTCACAGTAAAATAATTCCATTAATCAGTCCTTTCAGTCTCTTAGTAGTCAGTTCAGAAGGCTTATCCTGTACTGGAGAAAAAAATATTGGGATACAGTATATTCATAAAGATAGCACTTCCTAAGGCTCTGCAGGAGCACAGATTAACTGGTTAGTGTGAACGAAATCTTGATCATTTACTGCTACATGTGTACAATTTCTTCCATGTTGTGGAAGTCACTTATGTTAATGCTAAAACAAGCAGTTTTACCAGTGTATCAGTTATGTAAAGGAAAAAACCCTCATACAAACTTACCATTTTCTGCTTAGCAGATTTTAAGACCTTTATTTTGTCTTCTGGTTTATCACTAGCTGCTTTCCCAGTTCTGTTATTGCTTTTAAAAAAGTCAAAAGCAAAGAGTTAAGAATAGTTAAAAATATATTTTGCATAATATACACTATAGTAACATTTCTGTATGTTAAGCAGGGAAACCACCAAGATCTAGCATTCATGGTTTCCACAAGATAGCACAATAGTAGCTTTGTCCCTAAAGGAAATCTATTTCAGTTTGAATTTACAAATCAAAACCACTGCATAGAAATATTTCATGCCACAAGCATAAGACACATATACCAGTTCCTCTTGCCAACACAGAAGAGAAAGAGCTAGTAGCTATTATCTTTGCTTTAGAACAGTGGTTTTCAAACTGCAGATCGTGACCCAGTACTGGGTTGTGGCAGCTCTGGTCAGCATCAAAAACCGGGCCATTAAAAGTCCCGTCAGCAGTGCTGCCTGGCTAAGGCAGGCTAGTCCCTACCTGTTCTGACACCGCGCTGCACCCCGGAAGCAGCCAGCCGCAGGTCCGGCTCCTAGGTGGGGGGGCCACGGGGCTCCATGCGCTGCCACTGCCCAAACACCAGCTCCACACTCCCATTGGCCGTTTCCCAACGGGGGACGGTGCGCCTGCAGGCGAGAGCCACACGGAGCCGCTTGCGCGCCTCCACCTAGAAGCCAGATCTGCTGCTGGCCACTTCCAGGGCGCAGCACGGTCCACGGTGCCAGGACAGGCAGGAAGCCTGCCTTAGCACCCTCGCTGCACCGCTGACCGGGAGCCGTCCAAGGTAAGCCTACGCCCCAATCCCCTGCCCTAAGCCCCCCCAAATCCAGAGCCCCTTCCTGCACCCCAAACACCTCATCCCCAGCCTCAACCAAAAAAAGAGTAAGAAAGTGAAAGGACAGATTGAAGTACTCAATTAGGATGAGCAATATTGCCGCTGCATTGATAATTAGGGTTAGAAATCATTGTACTAAGATAGCATGATGTTTCCAGTGAACATCCTGACTTGCTACAAATTAGCTGTAGGAATATAGCAAATATTTGACATCTCATGTTATACATTCAAAGTGTAGCACAAATGCTAATTCTCACAACACCCTTAAGGAGGAAAGCAGTCTTATTCCTGGTTTTATAGATGGGAAATTTGAGGCACAGAAGTGAAGTGACCTGCAAAAGTCATGCAACAAATCAATAGCAGAGCCAGGATTAGAACTCAGGGTTCTCTTACTCAGTCCTTCTTACCACACTATCTCCAGTTTACAGAGGTTTGCTATCACTTATACTTCTAGAAAATATGTTGTGCTAAGCAGTATTTGTTACTCAGAGGCTTTTAGCCAGGAGCAGGATATAAAACTAAAGAGATTTAAATAATGTAACTTTTTAAAATTTGGTTAAGTGCTATTGATTGGTAATTCAGTTTCCCACAGCAAGCGTGTAAAGGGGTAAACTGGCCCCTTCATGGTAGACAGATTTAAACAGACAAAGGTATTGACTCCACCTGATATTTGTCCGCTTCTCCTGTATGAGCAATCCAGAAATGGCCTTTTTTCTTAACAAGTACTCTTCAACCTTTTGTCTTCTTTGTTCTAATGGATTAAAAGAAAGTTTAACATTTTTTTAGTGTTACACAAAATCCTTATTTCCAGCTCAACCCATTTCTAACAAATTTATAAGAATCGAATTGGCCTAAACGTATTTCATTTTTATCAAGACTCAAAAGACAAATTAATAAATAAAGCCTCTGGACAGAGATTTGAAGAAAAGATTTTTATATATAGTCAGAATTTTAATAGCCACACACCACACAGCAATTTTATCTTGATTTTCATTTAACACTTTGTACATACACCTCTACCCGATATAACACTGTCCTCAGGAGCCAAAAAAAAATCTTACCTCGTTATATCGAACTTGCTTTGATCCGCTGGAGCATGCAGCCCCGCCCCCCCGGAGCGCTGCTTTACCATGTTATATCTGAATTAGTGTTATAGCGGGTCGTGTTATACCGGGGTAGAGGTGTATTCAAGTGTGGCTTATTTAAACATTTCTCAGTTGGTGTTCTGCTAAGTTAACCATTGAACAAGAACCGCCCCCCAAGTCACAGTGGTGTTCTTTTGTTCTCTGTGGCTGCCTCTACAGGGACTTTTCACCTCTTCTACTGTGGGTCTAGCATTGGTGCAGTTCCACTTGCAGCAGCAACAATGAAGTGCTATCATAAAGGGCACAGAGGAGCTTATGCCAGCACTGAGTCTACAGATAGACAACACTGGTAAATGCCATCAGAACCTGATCTTCAGTTTATATTCGTGCTTTTTTGTCACCACACAGATGCAGAACAAACAGTAGAATAAGCATGGAGAAATGTTTATTTAGATATAGTCTTACCATGTAAAAAGGCCTGAAAGGGTTGGGCTTTTTTTTTTTTTTTTGGGGTGGGTTTTTTTTGTTTGTTTTTTTTAAAAGAAAACACCACAAACCTGTTTTTTTACACATCAGTGAGACACTCAGGAATGTGAAGCCTTAATTTCCCTGTTTTTACTGAAGGAGTTGGACAACTGATGTAGACAGAGAATTCTCTCAGACCCCTAACTGAAGGGGCAGGGTGCTGAATCTTCAGCCAAGCTTCCCCCCTCCACACACAATTCAGTATTAAGGGTCTCAGTGGAAGTCACTTCCTATCTCAATCAGTTTTCACCCCCACAGTTTTTCTAGTGTCATAAGACTAGTAGTTCTCCAGTTATTGTCAGAGTCATTCAGTAAGAGAAAGGTAAACAAAAACAAGTAGAATTTTTTTGGGGGGGGGGGGGGGGATGAGGGGGTGCTAAAAACCTTTCAGGCATTTCACAAATCTACCATAAAGTGTGAGGGAGAACAAATCTAGGCCTTGTCTATACTGCCACTTTGCAGCACTGCAACTTTCTGGTTCAGGGATATGAAAAAACATACCCCTAAGCACCGCAAGTTTCAGCGCTGTAAAGTGGCAGTGTAGATAGTGCACCAGCGCTGAAAGCTACTCCCCTCGTGCAGGTGGGTTTTTTACAGCGCTGGTGACGCAACTACGCTGCTGCACTTTAGTTCCCTGGCCCCTTTTTTGGTCCCCGTGTCAGAAGTTAAGGATGCAGTGTTCAGTTTTTAAATCTGAATTCTATACAATAGTGTGATGTGTTAAACCTTTAATCTAGGATTACTGTTTTAACAACCTAACATTCATTGTTAATATTTCACCTCTTGGTGCTGTTTTGGAAGAATGTTTATACTATATAATATATACATTTATTTGGTTGCCGCTATCAGTGGAGGACTTTGGTTGATACCAGCTGTTAGAGGCAATGTGAGGGAAGGTGCAGCTTGTTCCCCACTGCGACTTCAGGTGAAAGGTTAAAAATCTGCTTTTCACAGAACTAGCAAAGATTTTTCTAAGGTATAAGCTCCAGAGAAAAGTTCCATTCTGTCTCCACCTGCTTTTCTATTTGCTTCCTTCTCACCTCCTGTCCAATGTGTTTAAAAAGTCCGTTGAAAATAGTACTGTGACCGAGGAAAGGAAAGGCATTAAGGAAGATTTGGGATTGCACTGTCACCAGTATGTTGATAACACTATGCCAGTGTTTCATTAGACCCAGGATTGGTCTACACTAGAAAAGTTATACCAGTGTAATTATGGCAGTTAGGGGGTATGAGGTTTTTGTAACTGAGTCCACACTAGGACTTTTATATCGGAATAAAGGTGCCTTATACCTGTTGTGACAGTCTACCCCTATGTTCACACCATTGTAATATTGTTTGTACAGTACAAGGTATGCCTAGTGATGTATTTAAAACCTCAATTTGCTGGTCAGTATTGTCCTGGTAAAATATGTTTGGCAACATTGGAGTTTAATAACCCCATACAGGGGAATCTTACAACACACATTCCAAACCCCACAGCCCTGCCCAAACAGAAGGTTGCAAACAGGTTTATCCTAAGCAAAGGAAAGAATGTGTGCTTGCCTTCATTTGCATTTAAGCAGTAAATAAAAGTCATCAAGCAGGAATGGAAGACAAAGGAAGTTCAAACAGGTGGGGGGAAAAAACAGCAGGGAATATCCTCCCACATAGACTGTCTCCTGAGTCTCAACTGGAAATATTTTTCAAAGACAGGGACAAACAATAAAAAAGGACAAACACCCCAAGGAACCACTCTTTCTAACCTGCCTATCACATTTACTGCACCTGAAAAGACAAAGGAAGCAGCCATTGGATCCTGGGGGAGGGGTCCTGACCTAAAAGAGTTTTGTCAATAAGACTGCGGAAAGCATATGGTGAAAAGCTTTGCTTTGAAGCCAATCGTGTGTTAAAGTTGGGCATCAGTAAGCATTTTATCTTTATTTTTCTTGTAACCACTTCTGACTTTTATTCTTCATTTCTACTCACTTAAAAATCTCTCTTTGTAATTAAACGTGGTTTATTGCTTTATCTAATCCAGTGTGTTCAAGTTGAAGTGCCTGGGTAACTCCATTTGGGGTAACAAGTTGTGCACACATTACTCCCTTAAAGCAAGATAGGGCTCAATATATTTGAGCTATTCAGGATAGGGCTGGGCAGTACAGGATCTGTAGTAAGAGGAGGCCCTGAGATATAAATCTTGGTATCAGAGGCCTGGTATGAGGCCTAAGGCCTGAACTAAAGTAATGGTCAAGACTTTGCTAACATAAAGCAAAGTTAAACTGTGAGCCAGAAGCAGGCCCTGCTCACAGAAGCTGGCAAGGAAAGGGCTGATGCTGCAAAAAGAGACATACCTAAAAGGTACTGGACACCAGATATCAGAACATTCGCATACTTGTACATTCCACACACAAGGAACAGGCCGACCCATCCCAATGACAGGGGCAAAAGGGTAAAATGATGGATAGAGTTGTTTTGATCGAACCAATCTGTACAAGGTGAGAGGCAGCACCTTGCTACGTAGAGGGGTTGCACCTCAATACTTCAGGAGTGATGTGTAACTTGTTTGTACCTGTGTATAAGAATGTATCCCTGGGGTGGTGTCTTTGTCCGGCCACGGGGGCAGTGGAAAGTCCCGCCACTGAGCCGGGTCCTTGCCAAGAGGCATCTATTAGTAGTATGCCCGGTAGACTAAGTAATCTACGGGGAACTGCAATTGTGTCCAAGGTTGCAATAAACCTAGTTGACGTGACTTTGCATCTTACTAGACTCTGTGGTTATTGGGGGTTCTCTTCGGGTCTGCTGGGTCAGCTATCTGCGCAGAGCTGGGGCAGCACAAAGAGGGAACACACGCACACAGCCGAGTGATATCAACATAGGAGAAAGCAGAGCACCACACCGGTAGCAACTGACAACAGGACCTATTGGGGGAAAATCTGGGACTCGAGGTATGTTTGGGTCACCCTGCAGCATAACCGAGGCTGGTAAGAGCCAAGGTAGATCTGGCTGGCTTTCTGCAGTACACACAGACATGGCTGGAAGTGATTTACATGCTGGAGGCTTTTAGTGGACAGTCCAGGCTGGTGGCTACAGAAGCAAGGAATTGTAAAGGGCACCCCAGGATACAGGGCAGGGGTGACACAGCCACTCATCAGTCTGCACTGTATAGCTTATTTTTCCCAAACCAGAATAAAGCTATACTGGCATAACCACTTGTATACTGATATAACTGCATCCACACGGGGGTGGGGGTAGGGGGGTTGCTAATTTTAAAGCAGGAAAACTTTCTAGTTTAGTTTGCTTATGAGAATGTCTTGTGGGACAGTGTCAAAAGCCTTACTAAAAATCAAGTTATATCAAGTCTACTACTTCCCCACATCCACTAGGCCAGTAAGCCTGTCAAAAGAAAGAAATTAGGTTGGTTTGGCATGATTTGTTCTTGACAAATGCATGCTGGCTATTCCTTATAACGCTTTGGTACATAGGAGTCATATATTCAAAAGCACTTGTGACTTAGGAGCAAGAGTCCCGTTAACCTCAAAGTGCAAATCCTGATGGACTATAGCCCAATCAAAGCGTTTCAGCTGTCTTGACTTGTGGAAACTCAACATATCAAAAGGCAATACTGGCTGTAATTACGAATGGGCTATTTGCTTATCAATTTTATTTGAATTTGTTTTATTATCATAGTCAAGTCATTAGTAAGGCCTCAGATTTGTCTTTTTCAGCATTTTAAATGTGAAAATTCTCTAGATAAATCTGAAATTCTATTAACAATTGACCAAACAAGTATAAAAATCATCCACCCTGGCAATTACAGACTATAAAGTGGGAAGAAAAAACCCTACCAACATGTAAATAAAACATTCTACTTAAGTTTTATAAAATGTGTGGGTTTTTTAAGTCACTTTTTACCTGCCCTATTGAGAACATTTCCCTTTTTGACCAAGTAGGCCCTCCCTTTGCTACTCAAGTTTCCAATCTTGGGGTTCTCTTAAAACCTAAACTGTCTGCGATGACCAGATAGCAGCATTGGTCAAGAGCAATTTTGTATCTTCCTGATTAACAAGTTCTGATCTTTCCTTTCAGATACTCATCTTACCTCATCATCCATGCCTCTTATCTCTAGATTGGATTCCTGCAAACTGCTCTAAATGAGGCTACACTTGAAGACAGAGAAACATCAGCTGATGATGATGATTGCAGCTGATCAGTCACTTAATAGGATTTTATACAAGAGCACATTATACTTTTACTCCAGAGACTGTGCTGGATCCCACTTTGCTGACAGGTGCTATTCAGGTTGTTGGTTTTGTTACATCAAGCCCATTATGCTGGGACTCCAGGGGAACCAAGAAAAAGCCTCTCCCAGCCAGACAGGTGAAATAATCTGGTGCAGTCCACAGACTTGGAAAGCAGAAGTCTGCAGCAGACTGATCTCAGAGCGTCCTTACTGTAGAATTTGCTTCCCCCACTTAAATCTGACAGTACCCCAAATTAGATCATCTTCAAGGCATACTTTCTCAAGGCCCTTTTTGATTAAAAGATGGAAGCAACTGGGATGAATTTAGCTATTTTTTCATCAAGGGTTGCAGAATCAGCTTCTTTAACAATGTATCTTTAAGGCACAACAGTAGTGATAGTTGTGTATATTAAAGACAAGTCGAATTGTGCTGTCCCTGGAACTGTCACATGTTCATACTTGCTAGAAAAGAGCGCTAAGAAGTTGATTCAGTGTAAACTAACCAGATGTTTTCATGTGCCCAAAGAGGCTACCCCGCCTTTCCAGCCACAGTTGACGGACCCTGCCCCTTCCCCCGTGGCTCGTTTCTCTGGGTTGTGGGGGCTTGCGGGACTATAGGCTTGGAGGCCCCGGGACATTAGAGACACACGGTGGGTGAGAATCCAGTAAAAGATACTGCGTCTCACCCACCTCGTCTCGTCTCGTCTCGGCAGCGGTGCGGATTTCAGACCCGGATCCACCCGCTGGCCCGTCTCCCCCCGACCGCTATGCGACACACGGGCTGCTTGAAGCGGGAGGGGGTTCAGGGCCAGCTCCGGGCGGGACGGGTCCCCGGGCAGGGGCCGAGGGAATGGCTGGGGCTCCCTCCCGCTGGCGGGGGGCCCTGGGCGAGCCCGGCTCAGGGGCGGCTCCACGGGCCCTGCCGGGTGCCTTCCAGCTGCGTCCCGTGAGAAGGGCCCCGGGGGCGCGGCGCTTACCTCTGTAGGCCGGCTCGGCTCTCCGGGTGGCCGGGAGTTGCGGAGGGAGGCGGCAGCTCATAGCCGCGGACGATATAAAGGGAGGGAGCCACAGAACCGCCGCGACCACCCGCTCCGCCGTTTGAATGAGGCGGCCGGTACGGTACCGCCTCCGGGATTGGCCTGGCCGCGGGACTTGAACTGGCCAATGGGCTAGCTCCCTGGGAGAGGCGGGGCCGCGCCGCCTGACGCAGCGCGCATGGGCAGTACCACCGACAGCGGGCGCAGGGAGGAGGGGGGCTACTTGAGAGAGGTTTGAAACTAAACCGCTGCTGGGTCGTGGGTTGCTCCCAGATCCACAAGATAAAACAGAACAGGAGTACTTGTGGCATCTTAGAGGCTAACAAATTTGAGCATAAGCATTCATGGGCTACAGCCCACTTCATCAGCTGCATGGAGTGGAACATATAGTAAGAAGATAGATAGATATCTCCAGAAATGCCCCTCTGCTATGTACATTGGCCAAACTGGACAGTCTCTACGCAAAAGTATAAATGGACACAAATCTGACATCAGGAATTATAACATTCAAAAACCAGTAGGAGAACACTTCAACCTCTCTGGTCACTCAGTAACAGACTTAAAGGTGGCAATTTTGCAACAGAAAAGCTTCAAAAACAGACTCCAACCAGAAACTGCTAAGCTTGAATTAATATGCAAACTAGATACCATTAACTTGGGTTTGAATAGCGACTGTGAGTGGCTGGGTTATTACACATATTGAATCAATTTCCCCATGTTAAGTATCCTCACACCTTCTTGTCAACTGTCCAAAATGGGCCATCTTGATTATCACTACTAATTTTTTTCTCCTGCTGATAATACCTCATCTTAATTAATTAGCCTCTTACAGTTGGTATGGCTACTTCCACTTTTTCATGTTCTCTGTATGTATATATATCTCTTCACTATATGTTCCATTCTATGCATCTGATGAAGTGGGCTGTAGCCCATGAAAGCTTATGCTCAAATAAATGTGTTAGTCTCTAAGGTGCCACAAGTACTCCTGTTCTTTTTGCGGATGCAGACTAACATGGCTGCTACTCTGAAACGTGTCATTATGCAAGATAAAAAACCTGTACTGCCTTTCATAGCCTTCCAAACCGAGCCAACCCCATTTCGGAGGCACTGCCAATCACCAAGCCTCACACTTCAGTGACAAAGCTACTTAAAGAAAAGCAACAGGCTACTTAACTTAAATGAATGGGCAACTATGTACACAAAGAAGCCTTTTGGGAAGATCATTATCCCATAGGTGCTGACTCAGTGGGTGCTCCGGGGCTGGAGCACCCACGGAAAAAAATTGGTGGGTGCTCAGCACCCACCGGCAGCTCCCCTCCCCGCCGCCCCTGCTCCAGCTTACCTCCGCCTCCTCCGTGAGTGCGCCGCCGCGTCCTGCTTCTCTCCCCTCCCTCCCAGCGTTTGCGCCGCAAAACAGCTGATTCGCAGGGCAGGGAGGGAGCGGGAGGAGGGGGAACGCAGCACGCTGGGGGAAGAGGCGGGGCCGGGGCAGGGATTTGGGGAAGGGATCCAATAGGGGCAGGGAGGGGACGGAGTTAGGGTGGGGACTTTGGGGAGGGGGTTGGAATGGGGGCGGGGCCTATTGGCAGGGAAAGGGGCGGGGGGCACGGGCACCCACCGGCGCTGGAGAAAGTTGGTGCCTATGACCTCATTTGCTTTTCTCCTTTCACCTGGTACTGCTTTCTCAAGTGTCCATGCTGTTTCATAAATAATTGTACCAACAGCAGAGAGTAAGTTTTTGAGCTAATTAAATTAATACCCTAGGATGCATATCACACACACTGGCCTATTTGTGCATGTTCACATCTTGCAAGCGTTCTCTCCCCTGCTCTTTCTCAATAGTTATTCTTACAGGGTTCTGCTTAGTCTTCAGCTACTTTTGAGTCCTGTTAACGTCCTCCCACCTTTTGGATGGCCAGGTGCTTTGAGTAGGATGAAACATTAGAGAGACAGCACAATAGAGATGATGATCTATTGCTTTAATCTGATGTAATGGCTTTCTATGTTCTTCTTTCCACTAAGGCTATGTCTACACTGCATACCTTACAGTGGCACAGGTAGCCGTTCCTGTGTAGCCGTTCTTTGCTGGCAGAGACAGCTCTCCTGCTGGCAAAATAAAACTAGCCCCAACAAGCGGCGGTAGCTCTTTTTGTCGGTAAAACTTTTGTCGGGCCATGGTTTTTCCTTGCCTTCACAGATGGGCCGTTGGAGAGAGGCAGCTACCCTCTGCTGCACAGCTTGGAAGGTAGTGCCGCCTCCAGCAGTGGCACAGAAGGAAGGGTGGCAACAGGGCCGTCCCTAGCTAATCTGGGGCCCTACGCAGCCCCCCCGTGGGACGGGAGCTGGCTCCAGGCCTCCGCGGGGGGGGCGGAGCTGGCTTGGGGGACGAGGGGAACCACCCCCCAGCACTCACCTGCTGCACTCCTCAGGGGTGGGGCTGGGGCAGGAAGAGGCGGGGCTGGGGCGGGGACGGAAAGAGGCAGGGCTGGGGCAGGGAAGGGGCGGGGTGGAGGTGGGAAGACACGGGGCAGGGGGCTGGAGCAGCACGCAGCTGCGCAGGGCACCAGGAAATTTGCCCCAAATTTCCTGGTGCCCTATGCAGCTGCATACTTTGCGTATGGGTAGGGACGGCCCTGGGTGGCAATACCATACCATGCCTCCCGTCCTTCTGTGCTGTTGCTAGTGGTGGTGCTGACTTCTGAGCTGGGTGACCTGCCAGTGACCGCTGCTCTCCGGCCACTCAGTTTGGAAGGTAAAGCCGTCACCAGCACTGGCACAGAAGAAAGGGTGGCAATACCATACAATGCCACCGTTGTTCTGCGCTGCTGCTGGTGGCAGTACTGCTTCTGAGCTAGGTGCCTGGCCACTGGCCGCCGCTCTGCAGCCACCCAGTTTGGAATTCAGCACCGCCATCTGCAGCGGCACAGAAGGAGGGGTGCCAATACCATACATTGCCACCCTACCTTCTATGCAGCTGCTGATGGTGGCACTGCCTTATGAGCTGGGTGCCCAGCCAGTGGCCGCCACTCCCCGGCCACCCATCTTGGAAGGCAGCCCAGCTGCCAGCTGTGGTGTGGCATAGATGCTGACTTTTGGTTTTGCCGGTGGGTGCCCTTCCTAGGCCCCACCTCCGCTCCACCCCCTTCCTAGACCCCACCCCACTCCGCTCCCTTCCCCCGCCTGTCCACCACTCGCTCCTCTCCACCCCCTCTCTGTATATTAGGATGCACCCAACATGGCCATAATGGCAGGATTCACATTAGAGAAAAAAGGTGGGTGAGATAATATCTTTTATTGGATCAGCTTCTGTTAGTGAGAGACAAGCTTTTGAGCTTTCACAGAACTCTTCTTCAGGAAGAAGAACACTGTGAAAGCTCCGAAGCTTGTCTCTCTCTCTCTCTCTCACCAACAAAAGTTGCTCCAATAAAAGATATTACCTCACTCACCTTGTCTCTCTAATTTCCTGAGAACAACAGGGCTACAACAACACAGCATACAAAAATGCAGGTTTCACATGAACAGCACAGCGTGACCATCACACCAGGGCACTATTTTCAGGATTAATCTTAGCATAATGTCATCATTACACCAAGGAAGTAGCACTACCAGCACAATGAGATAAATATAGCCACATGTGCATGCCAAAAATTCACAGTACAAGCACACTGGGATCCACACAGCAGGATAGTAGTGTCAGTTTAGTTCTCAGTTTAGTGGGGATACACTCAGGAACTGAGTCCAAGGGTTCAGCTAAACACAAGGGCACCTGCAAATAGCTGTACTAACAGCAGGATCTACACTGGCCCAATAGGAGGAGTTGCACGTCAGGACATTAATTCCCAATCCCAGTGCAAGGCAATATGGGATCCAGGCACCAGGTCTTTAGTACCAGAATTTGTACTCCCAGGAGAGTGGGATGGAATTATAGAAGTTACAGGGGAAAAAGCCCTCTGTGATCATCCTGGCTCGGTCCATCTCCCTGCCAATGCAGGGCTGATCCTTACTGCATGTTTTGTCAAGTCTCCTTTTAAAAGTCCCAAGCCTTGGAGTTTCTAGCTGTGACATTCTATACCAGGGGTTCTCAAACTGGGGGTTGGGACCCCTCAGGGGGTTGCGAGGTTATTACATGGGAGGTCGTGAGCTGTCAACCTCCACCCCAAACCCCGCTTTGCCTCCAGTATTTATAATGGTGTTAAATATATAAAAAGTGTTTTTAATTTATAAGGGGGGGGGGTCGCACTCAGAGGCTTGCTATGTGAAAAAGGTCACCAGTACAAAAGTTTGAGAGCCACTGCTCTACACCTCGGGGGAGTGGCGTGCTGTGCTCTGTAAATCCCATATTCATAATTTGTATTTATTCTTTATATTTCATATAAAGCATGCCATGTAAGGTATCATGGAAAAGGTTATGATTTGCTGAAACCCACCGTTCTGTCAAAATATGTATACCATTAAAGTGTATAAAGTTATGAGATTGTGTTGTATGGTGTTAATGAAATATGCTGCAAATTTGGGAGTAGCCCAGACGGCAACTCTCCAGAAACAACAAGGCACTTGACCAAATGGCTGGGTGGATGTTACACAACCATCACCAGCCATTGTGCAGCAAATGAATGACAATTAGAAATTCAATGACAGATTTCAGAGTAGCAACCGTGTTAGTCTGTAGCCGCAAAAAGAACAGGAGTAGTGGGATGTAGCCCACGAAAGCTTATGCTCAAATAAATTTGTTAGTCTCTAAGGTGCCACAAGTACTCCTGGTTTTTTTAGAAATTCAATGACCATCACCAGAGAATTACTCAACCCTGGGACTCAGCAATGCCCTCCTCCCCCCAACATGATGCTTGGACTTGTATTTTCCAGAGCACGTGGACTAAACAGGAGATAGTTCCAGCCCAGGTTGTACCCCAGGGGTCACACACTAGCCCTTCCCTTGAGAGACTATTCCATCCACACCCCAAGGCAGAGATTGCACTGCTTGGAAGGTTTCCCCTGATAGCTTGAGTTTCCCTCTCTCCCTCCCCCGCCCCGGGTCCTATCCCTTCCCCAATGCCTCTTCCC